ATAGAATAGAATAGAATAGAATAGAATAGAATAGAATAGAATAGAATTCTTTATTGGCCAAGTGTGATTGAGCACACTAGGAATTTGCCTTGGTGCAAATGCTCTTAGTATACATAAAAGAAAAGATACATTCGTCAAGAATCATAAGGTACAACCCTTAATAATAGTCATAGGGTACAATAATTTCTATAGTTAATTATCTCAACCAGTGAGTCTGGGCAGCTTACAGTTCTAAAAAATACTACAAAAATAAACATTAAGAAACATTTAAAACAATAAAACATTCAAAATAAATATATATAGCAGCTGACATAATTAACCAATTTATTGCAACGCCAAGAATTCGGGGCCCTTAACATGCTCAGAACCCCAGGCTCGGGTACACAGCCAAGTTTTTAAAGCTTTACAAAAAGCCAGCAATGTTGATGTTGACATGGGCATCTGACCAAATTAAGCAGATACCAAGATGAATTGCAGCATACCCAAAGATTGTCCCAATTGTCAGCCTGTAGAAAAAAAAATAAACAATTATGTGTTATAGTGAAAATATATAACAAAAAAATGCTTTTTATAGCAAAATAGTAAACTCAATTTCTGGTGAACTCAATTTCTGAGACCTTCCTGGGGTTTTGGTTTTCCATAAACAAATACCTGTGGTCTCAAATAAATAAATAAAATAAGACACAATAAAGAAATATGACAACAATCTCCAGGTACACCAAAGGATACAACTTCTGAAGAACCAGCTCAATTGGAAGAACAAGACCACTCCATCAACACGTATGCCCTGCCATTCACTAGATACCCTGCCAGTATATTGAGCTGGTATATTGAGGTTGCCAACGTGAAGACTCTGAAGCTCTTCAAAAATGTAGAGATTACACTAGTTAGAAAAAGGGCGAGCAAAATACTATGATGTCTGGAAACAGCTGAACTAAAAGACATCACTGATCATAACAGCACAAGAACAAGCACTAAGCACCAAAACCATAGAAACTGGGATCTACCACATACTAGAGAAGGCCTAAGGTGCAGACAATGCAGAAGGCTGTGTAGACCTAGTGACAAGTTGTAAGATACAGGCAGGAAAGCAATACCCTGAATGGTACAACCAAGTAGCTGGCTTTGTGTACAAGAACATTTGCACAGTATATGGGTTAGATCCTCCCCTCCAGATGGGAGATACGAAGAAGACTGCAGTTAATAACAGTGCTGAGATCCTATGGGACTTCTAGATCCAGATGGATAGGCCAGTCAACCATGTATTATGCTAGTGGGCAAGGACCAGAAGAAAGCAACGTGACAGATGCAATGATGCCAAGCGACAACAACTTCGGGAAGATGGAATACAAGAAGCTGGAGAAGTAGTAGAGCCTGAAAGAGGAAGTAGAGAAGATGTCAAAAGCAAAGTGATGGTAGAAGCACTCCAGGCTGTGACTCTTAAGCTGGAAAAGTGGTCCATCGATCCCAGGAACCACTTCAGAGCTTCCTGAAGTGCTAAGGGACAGCTAAGGGAGTGAAGTGCTGAGGGACAACTAAGATACCACACAGAAGCCTCAAACTTCTAGGCTTCTGGTAGAGGAAGACACAGATCAAAGCAGTAGAAACAGAATTTTATATATTTAATACATACATTATTATAATAAATATATGCTTTATTAATTTTTTCAAAGGAAAGATAAAAACTAACAACTAATGAGAACTAATATCTGGAATAAAAAGAAGAAGAAACAGAAGAAAAAGGCAAGGAAGTGCAGGGAAAAAGGTAAAGGGGTTTCTGAAGTTCTTTACATAAGTTATAGATATAAATTAACTCCTTAGTTTATGATTACAGCATGACTTACATTTTCTTCTATAATCTATTTTTTCCTAATCATCAAAATCATATATCATAATTTCACTTTTTTCAGTTCATGCAAAATCCCTAAAACTAGTGAGATTTTTCCCATTTCTCTTCACATCTCCAACAAGACCAGCTAGTATCTTGTTCTGTTTTCCAACCGAGCTTGAATTCTTCATTTTGTTAAATGGGTTACGACTGGGAAAGACATCAAAGCGCAGATTTCCATAATCTTTAATACTGCATTCTGGAGAAAAGTCAGTGAGAAATGTGCACAGCACAGTTCCTGCCATGAAGAATTACTTGCAGACAAATACCAATAAATAATGTTTTACGTGCCAAGCATGTTGAATAGAAATGAACAATAAACACAACTTCAATATAATATTTGGCTAATGTATGTATGTATGTATGTATGTATGTATGTATGTATGTATATATATATACATACATCGGCTTTGTTCGGGTATTTTCCCCGAACAAAGCACAACTACTATGACGTGGGAAAATACCCGAACAAAGCCGAATGCCATACATGTAAGTACCCGCGAAAACTTAAGAATATATATATATTTTCCCACGTCATAGTAGTTGTGCTTTATATATATATATAAATAATATATATTCCTAGTATGATTTGATTGCTTATTGTATCCTATGACTATCACTAAGTGATGTACCTTATGATTCTTGACAAATGTATCTTTTCTTTTATGTATTCCGAGAGTATTTGCACCAAGACAAATTCCTTCTGTGTCCAACCACACTTGCCCAATATAGAATTCTATTCTATTCTTTTCTATACACTCCGTCAAATAATAAAACCTAGGAGATCATCGGATCTCGAGATGCAGAACAAATCCCAGAATTCTCAGCAACAGAGATCAAGAAATCCACTCTCTGTAAGTCCATTCAGCCCAGCTGTGTGCCCTCTCATTGTCCCCCAAGATCCTACAGCAAATCTTTCTCAGTGAACTTTTATTTTTTTAACCCCAAAATTACAGCTGAGAACTATGCAATTAATGCAAGTTTAAGGAACCAAAAGAAACCAAAAGTCTCGGCCCTTAGCAAAAGTGAGGGGGTAGTCCTGATATGTCACATGACGATGCCGTGATGATATGAGTTTGACACCCCTGCTTTAGTTCTATGATGAGCATGCATAAAAAAGAACTAAAAAGATCAATCTACTTCATCTGGTGGTATCACCAATCCATGACACGTGACAGTTCTTGCAGTAAAAGCAAGTACACCCTTTCTGCTTTATAATGTAATGTTCTAAAAGGTTCCTCAGCAGTTAAAGCAATTGTCGATGCAGTTGTAAGTGTGAGAACCTAAAGGTGAAACTCAAAAAATTAGAATATCATGCAAAAGTTCATTTATTTCAGTAATGCAACTTAAAAGGTGAACCTAATATATGAGATAGACTTATTACATGCAAAGCAAGATAGTTCAAGCTGTGATGTTTCATAATTGAGGTGATTATGGCTTACAGCTCATGAAAACCCCAAATGCACAATCTCAGAAAATTAGAATATTGTGAAAAGGTTCAATATTCTAGGCTCAAAGTGCCCCACTCTAATCAGCTAATTAAGCCAAAACTCCTGCAAAGGGTTCCTGAGCCTTTAAATGGTCTCTCAGTCTGGTTCAGTAGGAAGCACAATCATGGGAAAGACTGCTGACCTGACAGTTGTGCAGAAAACCATCATTGACACCCTCCATGAGGAGGGAAAGCCTCAAAAGGTAATTGCAAAAGAAGTTGGATGTGCTGTATCAGAGCACATTAATAGAAAGTTAAGTGGAAGGGAAAAGTGTGGAAGAAAAAGGTGCACAAACAGCAGGGATGACCGCAGCCTGGAGAGGATTGTCAGGAAAAGGCCATTCAAAAGTGTTGGGGACTTTCACAAGGCGTGGACTGAGGCTGGAGTCAGTGCATCAAGTGCCACCACACACAGATGGATCCTGGACATGGGCTTCAAATGTTGTATTCCTCTTGTCAATCTGCTTCTGAACAACAAACAACACCAGAAGCCTCTTACCTGGGCTAAAGAAAAACAGAACTGGTCTGTTGCTCAGTAGTCCAAAGTCCTCTTTTCTGATGACAGCAACTTTTGCATCTCATTTGGAAAGCAAGGACCCAGAATCTGGAGGAAGAATGGAGAGGCACACACTGCAAGATGCTTGAAGCCCAGTATGAAGTTTCCACAGTCTATGCTGATTTGGGGAGCCATGCCATCTGCTGGTGTTGGTCCACTGTGCTTCATTAAGTCCAGGGTCAACGCAGCCATCTACCAGGAGATTTTGGAGCACTTCATGCTTCTTTCCCCAGACGAGCTTTATGGGGATGCTGACTTCATTTTCCAACAGGACTTGGTGCCTGCCCACACTGCCAAAAGCACCAAAACCTGCTTCGATGACCGTTGGATTACTGTGCTTGATTGGCCAGCAAAGTCGCCTTACCTGAACCCCATAGAGAATCTATGGGGCATTGCCAAGAGAAAGATGAGACAAGAGACCGAACAATGCAGAAGAGCTGAAGGCTGCTATTGAAGCATCCTGGTCTTCCACAACACCTCAGCGGTGCCACAGGCTGAGAGCTTCCATGCCACGCCTCATTGAGGCAGTAATTGCTGCAAAAGGGGCCTAAACCAAGTACTGAGTATATATGCATGCTTATACTTTTCAGAGGTCCGATATTGTTCTATGTACAATCCTTGTTTTATTGATTGCATGTAATATTCTAATTTTCTGAGATTGTGGATTTGGGGTTTTCATGAGCTGTAAGCCATAATCATCACAATTATGACAAATCACGGCTTGAACTATCTTGCTTTGCATGTAATGAGTCTATCTCATATATCAGGTTCACCTTTTAAGTTGCATTATTGAAATAAATAACCTTTTGCACGATATTCTAATTTTTCGAGTTTCACCTGTATAGTAAAGTTACTTTTTCAGCATTGTTTTAACATTGATTGATCGCTCAACAAGGCCTTTTTTTAAGTGAAGTATTCCTGTAGCAAAACAATTTATTGACCAAAAGGAGATTTTGGCAGATGTTTCCTCAGGCATCCCACTGAAAGTTCTGGGGAAAAGATTGCTTAAAGTCTTTTGAAAGAAAGTTCACCAAGAACATGAACTTTTAAGTGAAAAAGCATGGAAGGTCCTACTATTTTTCCTTCAGCATAGATGGGAGAAAATGGATTTCAACACTTACTGCAACCAAGGCCAAATGCCAGGGTAGCCTGAATGTTTTCCTGACTTTAAGGTTTTTGATGCAACATATCTCCATGACCAAATACACATATATCCTTTTCAAATTTGTAATCAGAGCATTCATGGTGGGGGGGGGAGGGAAGAAAAATCACGTGTACAATTAATTATTTAAATTTCTTCCCCACCACTGTTGACCTTTTAAAAAAGAAACAGTCATAAATATTCTTCAATAAAAAAAAAAATAAAGATTTGAAAGGTTTCAGATTTAATTACATTTAAATTCTCCCTTGAATTGTAAAACTCAAGGTAGTGTACATCATGTTTCCCCTTCTAATTTTCCCTTCAACAATAACCCTGTAAGGGGTTTGGACTGAGAGAAACACCATCCTGGATGATTAAGATAACAGAAAAGAACATTTACACGGCAACATGTGCCACGAGTCAAATTTGTATAATTTCAAAACCTAATTTTTAGAAAAATTAGGTACATTGCAAAGATAAGTTCTTGGATTGCAAAGCCAACGGAGCCATTTGTCCTGCTATAATGGGAGAAATCTCTTCTGCCTTGCTGGAAGTCATCATGATATTTGGCTGCCCAAGCTTCAAAACAAAAAGCCTAACTGGGCATTCATACAAAAAGCTTGTTTGCATGCCAGCTGCTGCTGATGACTCAAACACTGATTTCTGAGTGATAACAATTGGCAGCAACCAAGCAAGGAAACATAAAGGCTTCTTTTCAATGGCTCCATGGTATGGGCACCCTTGAAGCAAGTAATCTCATGAGAAATTGGGGGAAGGGGAGAAGAGATCACATTAAATTTAAGGTTAAAAAGTGAATGTTAAGTTGCCATAACCCTCATTCTTGCATTTAACTGAGAGCTCTTTCTTACATCCTTGGCTACAAGACTCCCACTCGGCGTAACTGCATACGAGTGGCTTGTGTTTCTTCAGCAAGTCATGGTTCAGTACTGGAACCATGTCTGTTTTCCAGACAAAAGATACTGTGCCTAACCAGAGCCAGTTTGGTCTAGTGGTTAAGGTGCTGGCTTAGAAACCAGGAGACTATGGGTTCTAGTCCTGCCTTAGGCATGAAAGTTTGCTGGGTGACTTTGGATCAGTCATTCTCTCTCAGCTCAATCTACCTCACAGAATTGTTGTTGTGTGGAAAATGGGAATAATAAATATGTTTTCTGCCTTAACTTATTTATAAGAATAATAAAGGTGGAGCACAAATAAATAAATACTATGACATGCAGTCTCCAGATTTCCAGAAGAACAAGAGGGGGCAGCAAAGAGAGGCAGAAAACTTACTCTATACTGCCATCTAAGTGATAATCCAGATTTTGCAACCCATACATGGTAGTCCTAGCCTGAGTGAATGTCAAGACCAAAATGTCCTTCCTTAGTCTTCTATGTTCAAGATAAAACTCTGGCCACTTAAAAATTAGTAAAAACACTCTGAGGAGACAACTTGGGCCATTCCTAGTAATCATTAGCCACTGCAGATAATGACTACAGATTTAAAAGGAACAACTGTAGAAGGATAATAATTCCACATCCTATGTTTATTTATTATATTTATATCCTGGGTTAGAGTAAGAGAGCGTGACTGCCCTTGGCTCAGATGTCACCTAGCATGTTCCATGCCTGGAGGAGAAGAAGGACCTGAGTCTCCTGATTTCTCTTCCAGTACTTTAACCACTACTCCACAGGACCCATACATTTATTTAGTTTCTGCTGATTCCTCTTACAACCTAACCTTAACCCAATTTGTCTTGCAAAAGCTCAACATCATCTAACAGGGCTCATATACATGATTTGTTCCATCCTCTATTTGTTGTTATAGGAACACATTACAAGTTGTTTAATTTTTATTAAACAGAGACAATAAAAAAACCCAGGCCAACAATGTGTGGCGCTTTGAAACTATGAAACTTCCACTGGAATTTATAATAGCTTCCAGTTGATTGAAATTAACACAACAAACCAACCTATTTTGAGACACTAAAGGAGCATATTCCTGAATGTCAACTCTGTTCTTGACAGTCAGGCATTCTGTTGATACAAGAAAAACTCTTTT